AAAAAAAAAGGAATTTAATAACCCATAAAGTTTTGTAGCTTCAAGTTAACTTGTTAAATAATTGGGGGCTGCTGCTAGCCAATACTTTCATTATTGATTAAACTGTTGATTATGCTGGTTTATAAATCATGAGATTGTTTTGTGCTCAGTTGAACTGGCAACCTTAAGGGCTGAAAAATGAAGCAAACATGGAAGACCACAAAAAAAAGAAATACAAGAAAGGATCTGCAGTTCCTCTAATGGCCACTTGAGGCTGGCTGCAAAAGCAGACCATTTACCTCCCCTGTTAAACTCGGACAGCCAATTTCAGTTTCAAATTTCAGTACAGCTAATTTCCCGTTACAAAACATCAGAGAGCTGTTTTTGTTTTAATAACTCATCCTTTTTGATACTGATAAAGCTTAAAATTTGAGGTGACTACTTTGACTGATGGATAAGCTGACACTGGCAAGTGTAGCTATTAGCCTCACCTGCACTAGCTGAAGTCACCTTTTCATGTAAATTATAGCATTATAGCAGATTATAGCATTTTAATGAAATTATCTGTCAAGTAATATAGCTTGCTGTGTGATTGAGACCATCAAAGAAGTCTATGCTTCGACCGCTAAGCGCTAATCAGCAGCTATCCATGCCTGTGTGGATGTGTTTGCATATGTTTTAGTTTATTAATTCAGCTTGTTAGCACATGCTTGTCAGCATTAGTTAATAACTACATCATAGGCTTCTCTAAATATGGTTATTTCTAGCTCTGGAAAAACTAACACCAACAGCCAAAAGAATAAAGGTGAATCCTACAGATGATTAGGCTCTGTCCATCTTCGATATACAGTCTATAGGCTTGTAACGTCAAGTCAAGAATCAGTTTGCTGTCATGTTAGATCAATAAAAGCTCAAAAACTGGAACCAAAAAAAAGCTTTTTTTAAACAAACAAAAAAAAATAACACAGTTGAAAGACAGTTTTGGACCAGCATTTTACATATCCAACCAAACAGATGGATATATTTTTATGTTATCGACTAAGCAATCAAAGCTGAAACCTGAATTGATAAGACAGCAGGAAATATTCATATTGGTTTTTTTTTTTTTTTTTTTTTTTTTTTTGTGTGTCCCGTTTGGATCTTTAGCCATCAGAATTGTTGTCTTAAGGCCAAGAAAGATGCCAAGCGGAAGGAAATATTCATATTGTTGTTGTAACCAAATTCGAGAAAGTGCCAATTCGTTCTGAACAGTCCAAGCATGTGCTGCTAATATATGATGTTCTGTTTTGTGTGACAAAATCACCACAAAAGGAAAAGACTAAAATCAGTAAGTGATTATGCCAATTCAATTCCTGATGCTGTATTACTCAACTAATTGTTGCAGCTCCATAAACAATTGGGAGATTAATTGCACTGTTGCCTAAAACCATGAAGACAGTAGTGAAAAAAATAACACACACATACACACAATCAAAGAGGCTGAAGAAGGATGAAGGGAATAATGAATATGTTAGGGCAAAACGAAACTGAAGGAAAAAAGATGTCCAAAAAAAAGAGAAGACAAGTGGTGAGAGGAGGGATGAAGTGAATACAGGAGGGAGGGAGGGAGGCTCACAATGAGGGGGAAGGGGAAGGAGGAGACAGGCTTTATCCTCTGTCTCTTTGTTAGGGGTGCACCAAGGACAACACGGAGGAGGGAAAACAGCAGGGCGACGTCACACGTGAGTGACGAAATGCAGAGAAAGAATCTTCAACAGCAACACACAGGGGAAGGAAAGAAAACAGGAGATGGGGAAATAAGTAAAACATTAATATTTACAATTTAAGATTTAATATTAGAATTTTTATAAAAAGAACTTAAATGTTCATGAAAACAGGATTTTGAGTTTGTTTTTAAGGGAAATCTGAGTTATCTTTGATCACAAGCAAACATGTCAGCTTTACACTTGGGGTCTGGCTGGTTTTGTTTAGTTTTTGGTCTGTTTCTGCAAAAGGAACAGTCACCATCTGCGACAAGCGATTAGAAACAGCCACAGACTGTATATAAAAGATGGGCGAATCCTGATGTCACCTATTAGCAAACTCCTGTTATGAGGCCTCAAATGGACCATCACATCAGTCTTGATTTGATTTGTTTTTTGTATTTTTGTTTGTTTGGTTTTTTAAAAACAGGATGTCACTTTTTTTTTATCCGGGAGCATAATTTACAAAATTCATATGACACTGTATTCAATAAGACGTAAAACTACTGATTGAGATAATAAACTTATCAGAAAAGTGTTTACTAAGGTCATAGAGTAGGGGAGACAAAGAGTTATTTTTCTATAGACTCTACATAGCTAGTTATTTTTGCAAACAGTGGAGTTTCCCCCTGCTAGAGAACAGGAAAAAAAAAATCAGGTTTCAGGCAGGTAAACACTGGCTTAGCTTTAGACATTTAGATATTGAATACATATTTATATTTTATGGTTTCTACTGCGATTTGAGGATTTCCTGTATGTTTGTTAATTTTTTTTAATTCATTAAGAATAAACCAGTAAATAAGCTTATTGCTCACATAAACGTATAAAAACTAGCGGTGGATGAATACAAAGGATTTCACATTCTTTATCTTGCAAGATTTTGAATCTCAGAATTTCAAAATGTATTTCTGTAATAAATGGTAATAAACAATAGGACATCTAAGGGTTAAGAGTATCATAAGAAAAAGACAGCTGGTTGAACTGCACTGTAGCCACTCACACACTAAAGCTGCCACAAATTGGTTGAAATTCTGTTTGTGTGCCTGTTATCACTGTACCTAGTTCGTCCCACAGCTGCCTGTACTTGTCAGTCATGGCCGTCCCCTGTTGCCTCCACAGCGCCAATCTAGGGTCACCCATGAACTGCTCTGTGATCAGTGTTAACATGCGAGCTCCATTGGAGTCCCTCATCTTCAGCATCTCTCTCACCTGCAGAGACAACGTCACTGTGAGTAAACGGTATATATCACTTTTATTTAATCAGATAATAGGATCAAAATCAAGGTGACAGTTGTGGATTATTTTAATTTCACCAAAGAAATAAAACACTTTTAATGTAAATGATAAAAGACCAAGCATGGATCATTCTGGTACCCCTTAAGGCAGGGGTGGCCAACTCCAGGCCTCGAGGGC